CTGGGATCAACATTTGTCCAACTTTGACAGCATATCTCATAAGGTTTGGTTTTTAGATTTCTTTAAAAATGTGATCTGCTTTGCTGCTATCAGAAGGTTGTTGAGATGCTCTAAATCCTCCAAGTATTTTACCTGTGATTCCTTAGAGAACTTGGCTGCTTGTCATATATTGGTTCCAGTCTGTGTGAGTTGACTTGATTATTTAAAGAACAGTCTGAGGTGTGTACTTGTTGAGAAAATGGAGATTGTATAGAGGGCACAAATTTGTTTTTGTGCTTCTCTTACTACTCGAACTTTGTGTTGTCGGGCATTTAAATTGAATACAAAGATGCCTACATGAAATTCGAGAGTAAAGTTAGTAGCAGTTAACATGGAAGTAATATGATAAGGTCATGAAGATTAATGTACAAAAGTAACTTAAACAGTAATTTTAGCTTATCATTGTATAAAAAAAAAAGTAATTTTAGCAAATATACTGTTGGCATTTCCAAAAAAAAAAGCATCTGCTATATTGTTAAATGGCGTGTGAGGTGTGTTTTCCAGAAAGTTAAGTCCTACCATAGCAGAAAATCACTATTTGAAAGTAACGTAATATTAGTAGCTTTAGCATATATTTGACTGATCATAAAAACAAAAACATTTTACATATAAAACTAAGCGTTTACTATTGTTAAATGGCCTGTCATGTGTGTTTTCCAGGAGAGTTAACTCCTAGCGTAACGCAGCTCAACTCAATATTGTCAAAGGCGAAAAGGTAGAAAAGTACCTAATATCTACTAGCAATGTAATGAAAGCACGAGCTCTTCTGAAAGGCTAATATGAAAGAAAGGCGAATATGAAAAAAGAAAAATCATGTCAATTAAGTTAAAAATCATATTGAATTTCTGACTAGCAAGCAATACTAAAATTCATATTGGTGACTAATTTTCTTTTAATAAACTCTAATTTGTTATTCCTAATCATTAATATGCCCGTCCATAAAATATCTTGATAATTAATATATTGCTGTCATCTAGTTATTTGTTTGGTGCTATTCTCTTTAGGAGAGAGCTCATGGACGTTGTGGTGCGCGGTGCCTGTGCTGGAGCGCTACCTAAGTGACGTTATGTGTGTAGAATCGGGCCTTTAGGTAGCTTATACACTTCTAAAATTATGTGATTTATCCTGGGCCAATTCTCTTGCTTACTGATTCTGGGACCAAACGCTGCCTGCTTCAACGGGATTATTTGGGGCCAGATACTGCTATTTTAATTGGACTCTAATTGCTGTTGCTGACTTGCCTCCCGGTTTTTGAGTGTATTAGTACTGCTATTTTAATGGGACTCTAATTGCTGTTGCTGACTTGCCTCCCGGTTTTTGAGTGTACTAATACTGATTTTTATTTTTCTATTTTACAGGTAAGAATTTTGAAAAGGTTTGCGAGTTGTGTCACATCACTCTCAACAAAGTAATGGTCTTCGATGATAATGGAAGTATTACTCCTGGAGGTGTGAGGATAGGTAAGTTCAGTATCGTTTTACTGTGGAGCCACATATATCAACCTTTTGGAGTTGAAAATCTGTTTGCGTAATTACTTTTTCTTGCTCTGCCTGCAGGTACCCCTGCTATGACATCAAGAGGCTGTATAGAGAATGATTTTGAGACGATAACAGATTTCCTCCTAAAGGCAGCGCAGATTACAAATTCAGTACAGAGAGAACATGGAAAGCTCGCAAAGGCTTTTCTGAAAGGCCTTGAGAACAACAAAGATGTTATTGAGTTAAGAACACGTGTTGAAAGTTTTGCATCACTCTTTGCAATGCCTGGATTTGAAGTATAATCTAGCTGGAAATCTCGTTCTGGTGGATGAATTCTTTTTTTTATTCGTTGACCAACCTTTTCTGTGGATTGGGAGAACAACGGTGCACCCAACTCTTGGTTAGTAATTGACTAGGCTTGATATGATTTTTAAGTGTCAATTGAGCTCAAAGCCTGGATTAACTTATGATTGCCACGTTGGAGTATTTTGTGTCCTTATTGACTGTCAAGGTTGGCTGGAGGTGCCAAGACAAATCTCAAGTAGCTGAACCTTGCCACAGTTCCAGTATTTTTGATGAGGGCTTGGTAAATTAAATAGTGTTGTCATGAGGGACCCGACTCATTCTCCTATAGCTGTTTTGATACACTGTTGTTTTGGGTCCTCGTTATTTTTGGTTGTACCTATATTATTATATCTTTAATATTCAGCTTGTATATACCCTGTAATTTTCTCATTGAAGAGATTACAAGGTTGAATGTACATTACACCTTGAGAGAAAAACAAAGGAGTATTTAAGGGATTGTTTGGCAAGGTTTTTAGTAGTAGTTGTTTTGGCAGGATGACTCAAATTTCCAGTTCCTCACCCTTTTTATATTGTTCTGCTTCAATGTTCTTTGTTGACTCAGGTGGTATTGCATCACAGGAAACTGCTTTTAGAAGGCTTTGGATAAGCATCTGTTTCAGTCTCTATTGTAATCAGGTGAAGTACTTCTTTGATACATTCTATGTTCTACCGAGAGCTGCTACGAGTACAAATAATTCCTAGATGTTCATCTCATTAGACATGCATTGACAAATCCATTCTCCTTTGAAACAATTGCGATGTACTAAAGGTACCATGGTTAATGCTAGGGATGGACTGGGCACAGGTTAGTTGCCATGACTTCAAACCGGCCACTTCTCCACGTAGTCTAGCAATTTTTTTTTACATTGTCCAATAAGGTAGACCAAAAGCAAAAAGAAAGAATGACAGCATACGATAGAAAGTTGTTCTTTTCCCTACCTTGGGGCTTGGGGGCTGGAGATTTGAAAGAACTGAAAAGTTGGCAAACCAGAATCATGATGTGGTTAGTTGAAAGGAACAAGTCTGAGTTGCAAGTTGTAAAGAAGTAAAAAAGAAGATAATAATTAGAGAAGAAAAAGAGAGGAATCGCATTTCACAGGGAAACAGGAGACATGTCAGAGAGCTGGTGCTAGGCTGAGATACAAGAAGATATACCTAAGTACAGCGCCTAGCATAGACTTTATTGACAGCAGCCACTCTGCACTGCCTACAAAATAGAGAGCTGCCTCTTTTCTACTCATCATCATTTATTCGACCAACAATAACATTATAACAACAATCAATTACTACACATGCTATAGTACTCTTTTCATATTTGCTTTCATTTAATTCCTTGATAACAGAAAAAATTGAATCCCTTTTCTGGGAATCAAACAAAAGCTCCTACAGTTAAAGAAAAAAAAAACTGCTTTTTTGTGTTTGAGAAAAAATGAATGCTTGCCCAGGAATCTCATGATCCTTCTCTTCCTCTTTCCCTCTGTCCCCGCCCACTTCTCCATCACTTTTTCACAACTTGAATGATTAGTAATTTCAGGGTATATTGGATTAAAAAATCTAGTATTAGCTCAAAGTCTCCCTTGATGATTACATTAAAAAACTAAAGCATCTCACGTTTTTTTTTTATCTCCCATTTTTCTAGTTTGTCAAGTCCTACACTTTAGAAAGTGTTGTGAATTGAGAGTTCTTTTTTAGTATTATTACTGAAATTTCAATAATATAATTATCACCCTTTGGTTACTTTCTATATCTCTGTTTCCCCTCCCCCTATCTTCCTCTATGACCTAAACTGTCTTTCCTTAGCCGAAGTCCGTTGATGGGTTTAAGTTCAGAATTAGCAATCTTTTTTCCAGTACTTTTTGCGAACTGTTTCTGTTGCTTTCCTGTTTGAATTGATGCCAGTCATGTTAGCTGTCTCCTCTTAAAGAAAATCGTTGAATTGCTCACAAGAAAGGAAATTCAAATATGGGGTCGTATCAGAAAAAGCTATAAAGAACTTCTTTCCTCCATCAACTTTTAGGCTGTTAACAAATCAAAGATTTAGCATGTTTAACATCTTTAATCAAGGTTCTAACACATCTAGTTAATGTGAATTAGACAAACTTAATTACAAGAAAAGAGGATTGTTGGCTGTGATTATGACCGACCAACAAAGTAAAAAAGACCTATCTAATCTCTGTTAACATTACTAAGCAGCTGTCATTATCTTAAAAATAGTTGTCATTTGGGCAGAAAGCATCATTCCTTTATTTACTTTATTTAGGTGGAATCACATTCTTTTCCATTTGACAGAAGAAGCATCTTCCAATTTAAGAAACCCTAAACCTAGCTAAGTTGTCTATTATAACTTCATTCTCCTAAGACAATACCTACTAACATAGTATTAAATTATTCTTTCAGCTCCTATGTTTCCTCAAACACATCAAGACGTGGCCTTGAAGAAGTAATTTATTTATGTTAGTTGGGATAATCATAGTTTTCATCTTGGTTTGGTTGGGGAGTAGATGGTCTTTAGGTAGTTGAATTTTAATCGCAATCTTCATTCTAAATCGATGATGCGATTTTTTTGCGTAAGTTATACACCTTTAAAAAGTCAGTAAATAAATGTGTCTGTTCCTCTACTCTTCTCCACTTAAATATTAGTAGATGTGTGTCTAATATGTTGCTCTTTTACCACTACACCGACACCCTGAAGGCTTTTTTTTTTTTTTTTTGACGGAACGCTAGAATGCCCTAACCCGAGTTTGGTGTAACCATATACGTAATAAAATTGCTAGTTAAACATAAGACATATGATAGATGGTCACTATCTTTGTACGTTTGGATGATTCTTTGTGTGGTATGAATTGACAGTTAAATAAACAAACATTATATGTCTACAAGTGATTAAATATGTTGATAGAATAAAGAGCATATACAATAAAAGTAGCATATGGCAATTGTGATTCATATCAATCTTCCAGTTTTATTCCACTGAGGTGACTGACTGCTGGCCTTGTCAGTAGAACAAGAACAGACATTTCTTATCTTTGATCCAGTTATTGATGATAAGGAGGAGAATCTACTCCTTGAGTGGAAATATTTTTTAGAATTCTTTTTCTTTTTTACTGAAGCTATCTTTTATCCAACATATTCTTTTTGTTTAGTAATGTTACTTTTATTCAAAGGAAGAATCACATTCTGGTTTTTTTCCTTGAGGATAATATTCATGCATTACTTAACAGAGCAAACTTCTTCCTAAAGTTTTCAATACTAAACTTAGCTGCAAAATAAGAAAATTGACATTTTAGGATGCCAAAAAAGGACCAAAATAGAGAGAGATATGGATAAGAAAAAGTAGAGCCTAAATATTAAAAAAAAAAAAAAACTACTCCACTAAGTTATTCCTTACACTTCTACAATCTCTAAGGCTATGGCTGCACACATCTTTCTCCATTTGTTCTTTCTTTGTTGTTTTTACCTATGAGTGCACATGTCCAAAAGTTTCTTTCTTCCTTCTACTATTTCATCAAAGAAGTCATCAAGTTGCCCAATGATGCTTTCTGCCCCACATTTCAACATTCCAAAGCAATCTTTCAAGTTTTCAATCTTGTCATGGATATCAATTTGTGTTAATACTAGTCCACACTCCTTGGCTCTCTCTAGTTCCATTTTCAGCTCAGCCATAGCTACTCTTGCTCTTCGATACTCGAAAAGTAGGATTCCGGGCAGCTGTCCTTCTGCCTGATTCACCTCTGCTACTACTCTCTGATGCAATCTTGAAGTTGAAACCATAAAAGATGAACCGAAAACCATGTTCCCTTCATGACCATTCCCTTGGTAAAAACTTGTCTGTGGCCAACAATATACTAGTCCACTTACCAAAATGGCCAAAAGCAATGAGCTGACATTCTTCATTGCATAAAGCACTCCTCTAAAGCCACTGAATCCATTGAATTTTGATCCTATCATAATATTTTCGTCGAACCTCAATGATAAATCTTGCATTCTTGTTTCCATTAAGCTCTTGTTTTCTTCTTCAAGTGCTACTGTTTCTCTTTGACATCTATTTATCGCGCGAATAACCTGTATGATCAAGAAAAAAGATTACAACTTTATGTTAAAAGATGAAAACAACTTCCATATAGATACATGGTTTGATTATGCCAAGAAAATTAAAACAACCTGGCGGGAAAGCAGAGGATTTAAAATGTTGTGATCATCAAGAGAAGAAGCTAAATTAGCACCAGAGGTGTAATAATTTTCCATGCTGGAGATTGCTGATTTGAGAACATGGCAAGCTTCCCAAAGTCTTGAACTTTCATCCATGTACTCATCAAGCCATTTCTCTCCAACAGGCAAATGTAGTTTTTGAACCAGAAATGTTAACTGGGAATGAAAAGATCTTAGAGATGACATAACATGTTGAAGAAAATTAAAAGACATGAAGTTCTGAGACAGGAATAAGTGATCAAGATTGTCAAGTCCTCTAGTGAGGAAATTGTAGAAGCCATTAACAGAAGTTGTAGAGGAAGAATGATTCATCATAAAGATTGAAAAAGAAGAAGATGGTAAGTTAGAAGAGAAGAAAAGGTGACAAAATATTGATGGTTATATGTAGTGGAAGTGAATTCAAGAAGGTGAAATAAGGAAGTGAGTAGCTTAAGGGGTTAGGACATAGGAGTCTATATAGTGAAAAGGATTGGTTGTTGGGGGCAATTATGTGTGTTTGCTACAGAGTGGAGGAGATGATTGGAGAATCTGCCATATTCATTATATAAAGGAAGCAGAGAAATGCTGGAATTGAAAAAGTGGAAAGGGAAAAAAGGGAATTCCTAAGTCTAAAATGAAAAGAAAAAGCAAACATGAGAAGTTAATGAGTTGGCCTTAAAACATTTACACTTTCCTATTCATAAAGATTTAGTCTGCAGACCTTTCAAGAATCAAAAAGGGTGTCTGTACATAAAATGATAATTAGGGAGAAATCTTTAGTTTTTTTTTTCTTTAATTATATACTCCTAGCTCTTTATTCTATGAAGGCCCTAGATTTTGTTTTCTTGGGCTGTAAAAGTTTGACTACTTTGACTGAGATACTTCTTATTCTTTCTTCTCATTCTTCAATTTTGATTTGGTTCCCTCTTGGAATTGAGTGCTTTTCACCTTTTTCTCTCCTTTTAATTTTATTAATTATTCTTTTGATGAGTTATTTAGCTGTGTAATAGGGAAGTTTAAGGAGATATTAATGATGAGGTCTTGGAGTTGAGATTATTATATGCAAATGCTGGCCCCTGTTTTTTTCTCTTTTTGAAGTTAAAATTATACTTTTTTGGGAAAGTTTACACGGAAAGCAATATATTGCTTCTAAATTCAATATACACGAATTTGCCGCTAACATTAACTTGCGGTCCCCTCAATACCCTCTGGCTTTTCAAAAACAAAAGAAACTAAAAAGAGATAAAGGGTTGGTGGAGTTTGTGAATTTCCAACAAGTCTAGCCAGTTTTACAAACAACTACAATTTCCTCTTACATTTTCTATATTGAGATTTGAATCCTAGCCTTATGAATTTTCAAATGGGATTTATAAAGGCCGTGGAAGCAGCCACTAATGCTTGCATTAGGATAGGTTGTCTACATCACACTTGGTGTGCGGCTTCCCTAGAGGCGGATGTAATGTATCGGCACCAGTTTCAACTGAACCCAGTACTTTTGACGCGGAATATAAATTTATGTGTAAAAATTCACTAATATTGCAAAACATGAACCCATAACTTTAAAAAGACAATGAGTTCAATTCTAAAAACCTTAAAGGTTAAACCCATAAAACTTAAATTCGAGATTCGCCTCTGCTTTCCTAAGCTCTGCGTGATCGCGAGATTCCTTGTACACAGAGCTGCTCTTTTTTTTTTTTTTTTTTTTTTTTTTTTTTTTTTTTTTTTTTTCTTTTTCTTTTGTAGAGTGCTTCATTCATTGCCTTTAAGGTTTTGCATGGTGTTTGTATCTTTCACAGGATATCGAAACCAACCTCAGTATACAATTCTTATACTCGTGTGGCTAGTGATGGAATTGGAAATCCGAATAAGGAGATTCAAAATAATGCATGTACACCATAACTAGGAGTCAAACTTCTGTCCTAAAGCAAATTTTGAGCTACATTTGCCGCATATTGTGTGAACTCAATAACTTAGATATATACAAAAAAACCATTTGCTTTATACTTTTTGCGCATTATAGTTTGAGGAATGTGATTCAATTGAACCATGTAGCTCGATTTCTAGTGTGGCTACACCAAGGTTTTGGGACGTTGGTCATCAAATGCATTAAAAACATGTAGTATTGCTTTTTTTTTTTTTGCAGAGCCCAAAACTTTCTTGTGCAACAATGATGTAGTAGAAGATGTGATAATACAAAGTAGTATCAAAAGCCGGGATCCTGTTTTTGAAATGGGGAATCAAGAATGCATGCTCACTACATTGAAATTTGGCAAAATAGGACTTAGTACGGGACTAAGCAATTTGTATTGGAATTGGAAAATGGAATTCCACTTTCCAAATCCACTCAAGTGGGGGATTATCTAATGAATAAAGGCCATCCACACAACCTACAATTATCTATTTTTTTTTAGCCTAATATATATCTTTTGGTGGTTTTTCATTTTTCATTGAGTTCAGGGTCTCCGGAAACGGTTTTTCTACCTTCACAAGATAGTGGTGCGGTCTGTGTACATATTATTCTTCAACGACCAGACCCCACTAGTAGAATTTTACTGGTTATGTTTATGTTGTTGTTGTAATATATATATTTGATGTAACTATATGGTCACCCTTATACTCATCAGGTTTGGTTTTAAAAGGTAGCTGTAAGGTTTTCCTTTGGGTCCACAGCAAATTACAAGTCTTTAAAGGGATAGAGAAATAGGAGTAGTAAAAAGATAGTTTCAAATTTAGTATGATAGGATATTTCATGGGAAGGATTGGACACCACGCTTTGCATAATGGTGTAATTGGTGAGGCTGAAAATCAATCAAATCCAAGCAACAAAAGGGTGGGTTATTAAATACTACTACATGGTGAATTATGTTACGTGGACTCGTAGATTCGAGGATGTGTACGTATTAGATACAGTGTTGGTACTCTATAGTAATTTGTTTTAGGCGAAATACATAAACGGCCCTTTCAAGTTATCCTCAACGGTCAGCTAGATATCTCAACTGACCCTTTTATCATTTAAACACTTCAAGTGGCTATTAACTGTACCAAATAGATACCCGAGTGCAGCAGACCAGATGCGTGAGTTACACTTGCCAATGACGTGTCAAACGAACTAATTAAACAATGACACATGTAATTTATAATTAAAAAAATTGATATTTGTTATTAACAAAGAAATACATTAAAGAAAGAAAAAAAAACCTTTTTAAATTTTTAGCACACCAGCACCTTTCCCAACGCCCAACCCTATTCTTCTTCTTCTTCTTCCTTCCGCCCCATCTCCCTCTCACCTCCTATCTCTCTCTCGTCCCTGATTTAGTAGAGCCAACGCCATTGCAGGACAGAAAATACTCCAATAATTAACGATTTATATGTAATAGAGCAACAGCCACAAAGAAAAGAAAATGGGACTTCACAAATTCCTTATTCTCCCAACCACTCTTCTAATTTCGCCTCTTTATCAGCAAACCAACTGACCAACTCAACTTATTTTAGGTGTTAGTAAAAACAGAGAGAGAAGGTAGAGAAAAAATAGAGCAACAATAAGTGACCAGTCGTATTCGCCGGCAAGGCTCCATTTTCGACTAGCAATAGCAGCTAGTATAAACAGTCCGCCGGCAATGAACTCTGGCAGATTTGAGATAATGAAATACACAGGAGTTATACCACTATTGACGAAACCTTCTCGATGCGAGCTTCTGTTTTTTTTTTGTTTTTTTATAGTTTTTGCATCCAGGTTGAAATATAGGTGGCGAATTTACGGTGGAAGGTGGTGGTTTAAGGTGGTGGAGATAATGATGTTGGGGTGAGGAAGGTTCATATGAAATTTGGGTGAAAAAATACTGGTTTGATCGTTCAAAGGTGTGGGCAAAAATGATAATGTGGTGTGGGACCCAGGCATAAAATTTAACTTAATTCTAAAAATAAGAGAAAACCAGTCTGATAAAAGACTCACGCGCTCAACTGTAACTAAAATGCACGTAACTTGCCATGTCACTATGAGGTATCTATTTGATACAGTTAATAGCCACTTGAAGTGTTTAAATGATAAAATGGTCAGTTGAGGTGTCTGGCTGACCGTTGAGGACAACTTGAAAGGGCCGCTTATGTATTTTGCCTTTTTTTTTAATAACGAAGTAGTGTTAGGAGTTTGCCCTGATTTTCTTACCATACACCTTTCTGTTTCATATTGAGTCCTCAGAGGTGCGGCCCACTTGGTGTCGGATCAGCTCGACAGGTCACATATTTAGTTTTCCTATCTATTGAAGGAAAGAGCAACATATTTACCATATAATTGGTTTTCCTTCTTGTAGAAGGAAATATAAATCTCCCATATTTGGCTAGTCCCTTTTCTTGTAGGAAAAAGGTTTGGACTTCTATAAATTGCAGCATCCACAATGTAGTCATAAGGGGCTTGAGAGTCTTGTTTAGGGGGGGGGGGGAGGGGGGAAGAACTTTACGTGACAAGTGTTAGTGTGCCACTTGTGTTTGCCTCTTCGTGAGGTTGTTCTCTCGATATATTGTATTCTCTTTTATATAGTGGATTGCTCATCTCCGCCGTGGATGTAGGTCAATGACCGAACCACGTTAAATGTTTGTGTCTCTTTTGGTATATTTCTCTTGTGTTGTGTGGTTTATCGTCGTTCAAGGTTTATTTTACTAGCTTCCGCATGACACCTATTTATTTCGGTCCTAACAAGTAGAATCAGAGTGAGGCTCAAGGCAGGTTCTTTGGCGAATTTGGTTCTAGCATTACGGTTTTTGTATGAGAAATTTGACCGCAGTGCTACGCACGTCGAGACAAACTTTGTTATAGAGATTTGGAGATGCAACCTGTTGATGGTTATGTGAAGAAGGTGGATCAAGTTTATTTCATCATAAAATTTAGGCCAAGGGGGAGAATTATTAGGTGTTTTGCCTTGATTTTCTTACCATATTTGGTTTTCCTATTCCTTGAAGGAAGGGTAACATAATTACCAAAATTGAGTTTTTCTTTCCTAGAAGGAAATTATAAATCTCCCATATTTGGCTAGCCCTTTTTCTTGGAGAAAAAAGGCTTTGGACTTCTTTAAATTTGAGGATCCCCCTTCTTATTCAATAGCATCCACAATATAGCCATAAGGGGTTTGAGAGTCTTGTTTAGGGGAAGAACTTTACAGGACAAGTGTTAGTGTGTCACTTGTGTTTGTCTTTTCGTGAGGTTATTCTCTCGATATATTGTACTCTTTTTTATATGGTGGATTGCTCATCTTTGCTGTGGACGTAGGCCAATGACCGAACCACGTTAAATATTTGTGTCTCTTTTGGTATATTTCTCTTGTGTTGTGTGGTTTATCGTCGTTCAAGGTTTGCTTTACTAGCTTCTGCATAATACCTGTTTATTTCGGTCCTAACAAGTGGTATCACAGCCTTGGTTCTTTATCCGGGTTTTTATGGAATGGAGGTGAATATGAGCAAGATGGTATGTTTGAATGAGAGCAATTATAATATTTGGAGAAGCAAGATGAAAGATTTGTTGTTCGTGAATAAGATGCATCTACCCGTTTTTGCAGCTCATAAACCCGAGAGTATATTAGATGAAGATTGGGATTTCGAGCACCAGCAAGTATGTGGATATATACGACAGTGGGTTGAAGATAATGTTCGCAACCATATTGTGAATGAGACACATGTGAGATTATTGTGGGAAAAGCTAGAGACTCTTTATGCTTCAAAAATTGGGAACAATAAGTTGTTCTTGCTAAAGCAATTGATGACCTTTAAATACAAGGAGCGCAGTCTTATCCTTGATCATATAAATGATTTTCAGGGTGTCCTCGATCAGCTGTCTG